TCGAGTATTAAATCCTAGAACCTTGAGAGCGGCAACAGCAACATGCAATGCAGTTGTGTCACCTGAACTGTACATGGACTGATAGCAAAGCAACAGGACTGAAGTTATTTCAATCCCCACCCCAGTCCTTGATGTTGGTGGAAGCATGATGTTGCATCAAGAAGTCCACCAGCTCGATTGAGCATTCGAGCGCAGCCTGCAGGTTGCCGAGAAAAAAATGCATTTCTGCACAGGGCCTTGTGGGGTCGGGCGGTCAGCCTTTCAGCTATTAAAAATGATAACATTGATGACCGGGTACGAGTCGAGATCCAAGTGAATACAACAACACGAAAAGCATCAAACAAGCATAAGAAAGTGGGGAAATGCCAAAACTCCGGTGAGTGAGAATGTCATGAGAGTTGATGTGTGTTTTGCGGGTTGATATTCCTGAAGGATTACGTAGCCTCCCTTACAGCTGAGATCACAGACCACTGAATCATACCCTGCTGACCTGCTGGCACCTGGTCAAAATCCAACCGACCCGGTCCTTCATCAAGGATGTCTTTCGAAAGTGACCATCCGCTGCATTCACATCGGCGCCGTGATGTAAAAGGAGATCAGCAACTTTGGTGAAGGTTGTCCACTCCATGCTCTCCTGAGAGAGAAACCTCAGTCGGATGGACCCTGTACCATCAGGGTAAAAGGCGAATGCAACAAACAACCAGCCCTAGAGAGGATACGGTGATGTCCTGCTATACCGTGCAACGTGGTGTTTGCCTTGGACGTTGGCAGCATTTTCCAGGTTCTGTCATCAACGTCAACAGGTGTCAACACGTGTCAACTCTACGTCAAAATTATTCAGAATGGACATGTCATCTTGTGATGTGAATGCAAAGCATGCGATGCCAATGCGCGCAGCGCAACTCGCACTGACGTAGGAAAATTTTCCGTGGAACATTGACATCACTGAGACGAGGAACTGGTCCACCAGAGCTATCAGGGGCCGCTGCACCGCACCCACTCGAGCATCGCCTCACCGGCAAAGCGCGAATGGCTAAGTAATCTGGCGACTTCTGGCTATATGATGTTTGGCTATACCTCTGCTGTGAAATGTTTCGTGTCCCTGTTCTTGGTGTTGAAAGACATGAACAAAACTTGAAGCAACCGAGACAACTTTTCACAAAGTGGAGTCAAGGAATTTGTATAACACAGAACCTTTCAAGCTCGGATCATTTCAAGGCCCAAAACATGGGACGAACTTCCACTTCGGCTGCTAATGGCTGCTAGCTGCCAAAATCAGGTGCCACCCTGATTCTTCGTTCTACACACCATATCGCGTGATTTGACTTTGTGTGTCCTGTGGCCCTGACCTGGATGCTCTCTTCAGGACGCGCCTTCTTCATTCGCATCAACGCCGAGCTTCAGCAAGAGTTCAACTTCGGGCCAGCTTTTGCTGTTCATGGCCTCAACAGGATGTTGCACAACATCGTCAGAATGACATTGATGAAGCTATCAAGGTGGAACAAGATTGAACAACTGTAAACAGTCTATCTTCGAAGGCTCCTGGGACAGGGATCCATGAAGAATGTGTTAAAACAAAACAAAAACGCGGACAAACGGGGCCATATCACAAGCTTAAAGTGAAGGAATTCATAATGTGCGATCATAGGTTCTGAAATTCAAAGTGTTCCCGCCCGTTTGCACCCAACAATCTCCGAGTTAAGGGAAACACATCTTTGCACAAGGCTGGGTCCTCCATGAGCGCAGTTCTTTTCAAGCAGCCATTTCGGCCCTTAGCACTATCATTCCCAATCAATCAAGTCACGGCACGTCAGACTCTGCATCGACTGGAAAACATGGTTGAACGATAGCTAGATGAAGATGGTTGAATTGGAAATGAATATATAACCGATAGTTTCAATAGGCAAACGAAAAAAAAAGCATCCAAGCATCTTTAATGGAAAAGCTGGCGCCAGAACGATTGAGGAGCAGAACCATGCTCTCAACGTGGTCTGTCTTTGGTGTCGTCTTATCCTTGGCGTGGCAAGTTCCTTGGCCTTGTAGATCCCCACGTCCATCATGGCGAAAAACCAGAAACAAGGGCGTCGCTGGACACCTCACAAAAAAGACCAGCGTCTGACTGTCATGATACTGATCCTGGAGACGTGAGATCTTCCACATGGACATGAAACATATTTCTAGCACGTGAAAGCTTGTTCTTGCATGGCAAAATAGGTCGAGAAATCAATTTCAAAGCCAATTCCATGCTTCCATAAGTTCAACTTCAGTACAAGAACATACATGAGCAAACTCAAAAAACAGTCTCAAACAACTTGAACCAAGACCTCAAATAAATTCAGTGCTCAATATGTCACGCAACTCGGCATCTGGAAACGGAAGAAACAAGTGGTTCACGTTACTCCCTTTGTCAAGGAGAAACTTCGTCGCTTCCAACTCGCAGTTCCGAACTGCATGGACCAAAGCAGTGAAGTTATTCGCATCCAAGGTATCCACGTGCACACCTGTCTCCTTGGAACCAGTTCTGGTGCGATGTGCTAGAGATGTGGGTGTGATGCTTGGTGCGGGTGTATCCACCGACCTTTGGTGTGGGGGCCGAGCCCTGCTCTCGAGGTCTCAAGTTTGCTGCTGAGCGCTGCTGGCAGTATCGTGCTGTCAATACCAGCAATGAACACCAGAAAGGAAGTGCTGGCAATGCTCTTGCTAAAAAAAAGGCGCGCAGGTGGATTATGGAGTGTTACACAAGCCAGACGCTGTGACGTGCTCATTTTGCTAGGCTTTTCGGTGTTTTCGCACGTGTTTTCAAGCTTTTGAACGCCTTTATGCTACTGCTGCATGCCTTTGTGAAAGTAGTTTTTTCAAATATTTCTGTTCGGCATCCTGGAACGTCCCCATCGTGTGTCAGTAACAGAATTCTTGTCCAAATCGGCTGCTCATTCTAATTTCTGAGGCCCTGAGATAGGCCCTTAAAGGAAGAAATGGGCCCCAATTGTGCTGATGATGCTCGTGTGCAAGCAAGCGCGCTCCACGTGCGCCCCGCGCATCATCAGCACCATTGGGGAGGCATTGGGGAGGCATTTCTCCTGGTGGGGGTCTCTCGTAGGGATAGGAAGGGCCTAAAGCTTCTAAATTACCACTTGAAGCCTGGGGGAGAGGGGGCGGGAAGGGGGTTGAATATTTAGTATGCATGTGCCATAGCTTCCGCCTAACCGTGCATGTTGTACATGTTAGCTCAAGGGTTCTGGTCTGGAGCCACGGATCAGCGCTATTGTGCTTGACCAGTGAGAAGAACAGGACGGATCGCCCTACTGAAGAGGAACCTCAAGTGAGTAGGTTCCGGGGAGTATCCAGGTAGAGCCATGGAAAGTGAAGCCCCATGGTAGGAGGATGGCGATTGGCAAGAAAGAAATGGTAGGGGAAGCTGGTTTACTTAGGAGGATGCAATCGACGACTGGTGTGACCTGGCCTTTGAATTAAAAATCATCTATATGGGGGGCGGCGCGAGATCGCAACAGTCTTTTCGCAGGAACATTTCTCTTTGCGCA